AGGAAGATGAAGACCATCAAAGATATTGCTTTAGTGGTTAAAATATACAGGGGCAACAGTAAAGTGTGACAGTCGATGGTAGATCAGAAGAAAAAATATATGAGAAAGTAGTAAATTCATTTATGTTTCATAGAATAGTCAATGAATGATTGCATTTGTTAAAATTTTTTACAATTATAGGTAAAAACAATTGCCCAAAAATAATAGAAAAACTTCAGAAAAGGTTTAAACATATTCAAGGAAGACACATAATGTACGGGAAAGAAATCAAGTAAGTTAACTCACATTGCAATTGTAACAAGAAGGATAGAATCACATTGTAATTGCAAGGAGAGAGATGATGATCAAATATGACGTTATTAGAAACAATAAGTGAAGCTAATAACATTGCCCACAACAGAGCTCAACATGAAACATCCATGAAGCAAACAGTTAATGGTTGGAAAATCAGAATGGATTGTTCCTTGCCATTGTAAATTTGTGATGTAATATTAAAAGAATCTCTTATAAATAAACAACAATTACTTATGAGCAAATGTATCATCTTTGCAAGTTTTTCTCAGTTTTAATGATACTAACATATTCATTGAATAGGCTAAAATGTCCATGTTTTATTAAATGAGAAAAAAATGTTCAAACCTGTTCCAGCGTCCATACCAAATGAGGCTGAAATTTTGTTTTAAATGAGGCAGGTTCAACCTATGAAAGATAAGCACCTCAGCAATTATAAACCACAAACATCCACAGAAGAACAAAGAATCTGTATAATAATAAATTAAATCTTATAGTGGCAATAATCACTTCATATATGAATAAAATGATTTTTTCAACATGTCAAACTAGGCAAATGCTATTTGAGGAAACTGTATATTGAACTGCAATCTGACACCATATGCTGGTATAGTTCTCTTTAAGATCCCTATGATATCCTTTTCACATATTGACTGCAAATATAAGAAATGCATTTCAGAAAATTGTTATATTTTATCTGCAACAGCTACTCCTCTTGGTTTCATATATGTAGCACATCACTTTTATCCCATCTCATGTCTTGTGCAGTATGATAATGAGAATCACACAGCATGGGTTAATCTTTTAGTATACAAGTTAGTTCTAAGAAACAACCAAATTGGTGCAACAAATAAGTTAAAATATTTTATTATCCTAACTAGGTGGCCATCTAATAAATAGGAGGATACAGATGCCACCGGATGCATAATTTTACTTTAAAACTTGAAATAAATCATATGTTTGCAAAAGCTTGTGCTTTAAAGCAAAAACAGTAAGGGACTAGCCTACCAATCAATTATATAGCACAAACTTGGACCTGTAAGTGTAATATACAACATACCAATTGACCACGATATACGTTTTCAATAGCTTTACTGACTGAAGTAGCTCGCAAAATTGCCACTTTAGATGACGTAGATTCAACTTCATATCCAGATTTGCACCATTGTGGCAAACCTCCATCCAAAACCCAAACTTTATTGTGTCCAAAAACTCGGAACATCCTATTAATTCAATGCTGCTTTGTCAGAAAGGTAAATCACTTGGCAACTGAAATCACAATAACAATTAATAATACTACTAACAAGAAAATCGAACTATGTAGTTGCAACTATTTGTCATATATTTCATAAATCCTTTCTTACCATGTACATCAATTAAGTTCACCACCAAGAATCCTAAAGCCATATTGTCCTCTCTCAATGGGCACAGAAATAGCTAGTGTATTAAAACATAAAAATAGTTTCTACCTTTTAACAGATTTATCTCCAAGTTTCTAACTCCTTTGTTATCATAAAAAATGTCCATGACCCAATACCCAAATTTCCTGGATGAGGAAATTTGAACCATGGCCATGCCAAGAGCATGAATTAAAGGATGTGAGGCAAACAAATAAAAGAACTTGTGCATACTGTCACTGAAACAGACTTCTGTATCTTTTTTATTTTAGAGCAATCCACTTTTGATTGAAATTTTATGACAAGTCATGATACCCTTGCAATAAGTTTTTAAGTACTTGAATTCAATCATATAATTTTTATGGTTTTTAGTAAACTTGTTCAGGTTATATTAACAAAGTTACAGTGGACTCAATAGGACTCCTTTATGCAAAAATAGTAATGTAATGGCGGCGGCTATGAAGCCACAGCAGAAAGGTTTAAAACTAATCAGGTTGAACAGCATCTGCTACAATCTTAGATATATACATAAGAACCCAAAGATAACAGAGCAGAAGTACCAGAGAGGTGAGAGATGAGACAAAGGTCTTCCAAGCCAGAACAAGGAAGATGATATCAACTTCTATCAATTGTCAAAGAGTATCACACTTATCAATGTTTCATGATCTGAAGACAAGGGGAAAAAACACCATAGGAAATGATGATGATAATAATATCCAAACACCCAATTGAATTAGTTTGATCTGAATCATTGATCAAAATCCAAATTACAAGGTGAAAAAAATTCTGCAAATAAACTTCCTCGAGCCCCAAAAAGTTAATAATCAATCAATTATAATCTTTTCCAATCTAAGTAATTCACTCCTGAGCATAGCAAATTAAGACCCATAACCATTGACATACAAAATTATCCTATGTAAGGAAATCTTTTCTATTAGTAAACATATCTCACCTGGATTCTTTCAGAGTGGAAGAGGTTTAAATGAATATCTCATATAATTAAAAATCCAAATCTTAGGTTGGTCGGCAATCAATTAGTGACCAAAAAAGTAAACCTAGTCAGACCAATGCAAACCTTTCAAAAATGAAACATAAAAATATACAAAATACTAACAATCTAATATATGGTCATGTGCGAAGTATCTGTATATAGAAAATTATATTTGGAGGGATAAATATACATAATTTTAAAATTTGGGAGGATGAATATGGTAGTAGACAATATCTAAAGTTTAAAGATCAATCAATTGGCCCAACGAGAAAATGGCAAAACTTAGATCTGGTAAAAGAAGTTTTGAAGCTGCTATAATCAGGGAGAGTAGCTACTGCTATATTGTGCTGTATAAATTTATGAAAGACCAGAATATTATCGGTTGATTACCGAAAGTAGACGGGCAAGAAAGGTCACATACAGGAGTTAAATAATTAAGAAGTCATGGGAAGAGACGAAAAAATGGCATTCCATCAAACATCATTCAAAGTTTTTAAAAGACCCCCTTCCCTTTCCTTCCCAAATCTTTCTTACACAGTGGGTCAAATCCAGCTGGAAAAATTCCAGAATCTTTCCTCACACTGCAAATTTTTGTTTCATTGAGAATCTTTGTGTCCCAATTGTCTAGGTTATGTACAGCCTAAAGCAGATAAATTAACTATATCATTATAATTTTGATGCACAAATTGATCCTAAATTTGGCACAACCACAACCTTGTAACATACACCAAGCAGATTACTTAAGAACCAATAACCTAATGACATAGTATTAGAAAAGTATAAAATAATTAAAAAAACACAAGAAACTAGTCCTGGGAACTTAACTGAACCTTGATCGCAACAAATGATATCATTAGGAAACAAATTTCCTTGTAATAATGAGGAGTCTAGAATTCCAGAAGTATTTTTCTAAAATTTCACCAACATATTGAGGCTCATCTTAAGAGGTTACAAAGAAATCAACAGAATTTTATCATCAAGTTATTGTTCCACTCTTACCACCAAACACGAGCAGCACTAAATTGTCCTTTTCCATCATAAACAATAACAGCATCCTTGTTTTGAATATCAAGAGCAGAAACTGAAGCAGCAAAAGCTTCATCTGATGGCAACATGTGTGGCAACTGATTCAAAAACGCATTTAAATTTAGATAAGTTCAAAAAGTTAAGAGATTCATCAAGTAAATAACATTTGTGGGTGGTATAGACGTATAGTTTCCTTGGAAAGATATATATCAACTAAATATCATTGCCTTATCCAAGAAATAATGTCAGGTCCAAAATTACATGAAACAAAAGGTAGGCAAATGAATATGAAAGTTAAGACCACGTAGTGAATGCCATTTTTTCTTATCTGATATCTAATGACAAAATATGCCCAATAATTGTGGACATTTGTTTCTCAGTTGTCATTAAGGATCCCTCACTTAAATGTTTCAGACTGCAAATTCATGAAAATAAATAATCCAATTGTAATCACCACTAGTAATGGACATATGTCTCTCAATTATCCAAAAAATTCTTAGTATTTACACATTAAACAAAGTTATGTTACAAATGAGGGGCAAAGTGAAGCGGGTTTCAACTGGACTAAATGTTCACAAAAGGCTTCTCTGGAAGGAAAGAACTGTGCTTTAATTTCTAAAAGCATATAGAATGCTTCCTGTGTATCAAGGATATATAAAGACTTTAATGAGTGACTAGGAAATGGAAGTATTGATGAATTGTTTTCATCTGTTAAACGTGCACATATTCTCATAACCATTAGGCATAAAGCAATTATGTGCATCAACAAGTATATTATTATAATAGAAAGTTTCAAGCATTCTCGACTGCTTTAATTATTAGTATCCATATCTTAACTTAAAAATGACTATTTTAAGTACAACTGCTGCATTTTACTTTCTGTTTGACGCATAACATGTGCCAACCATATCAATTACTTAGAGGATTTTAATTTTGTTCTTTAGGTTTCAACTGGAAATGACAATCTGACCTAGATACTGTGTTGAACCTTTAGATATTGATATAAGATACAGACTTCTACATTTTTTCCATATATCACAATTTCTGGTTGAACTACTGAATCACCAAAGTATGGATCTGAAAGAAATATTTTAAATAATGCATGAACAGGATATCGTTGCCATGTAGAAAATCTTAGTTGCAAAGTGCATATAGCCTAAGTATAATAGTTTATTTTAATTTATATAATACCTCATTTATAACATAAGAATAGGCTGAGTATGGCAAATCTTGTTCCAATCAGTAGATGAAGTTGTCACAAGAGATTTGATTTCTAGTAGCTACTTTTGATAAAGTGAGTCAATTCCAGTAGTGTGACTACCATGAAGATTGTCAGCATTCATGATTATTCATTTTTACTTTTTCTATCACCCCAGACAATTAGTCATGCAATAAAAATATCAAATTTTAGGTAAACTTGGTATGGTAAGCTTACCATCAGATCAGACCGGAAGAATTATCTGGTCCATATACTGAGCTGCTGTCTGATTGGTAAATACTGGTTTGTACTGATCAGTACAACTAAAATTAAAATTCTTGTTTTTAAAAAAAATTCTAATAGTGTCACTCTATGAGTCTTGTTTGAAACCTAAATAATTGTGAAAGCACCAAAACTAGATTGGTTTTTCATCTCTTTAGTTCTCTACGGCATTTTCCTGACCTATTATTATTATGCAATTCAGAGAGCCTCCTTCTGTCTCATCAGCTTTCAAACACTGACAGAATTCCAGAATTGACTCAATATCATTGAAGCTCATGTCCTCTAAGGTTTTCTTGGGTTATCTTTGTACCACTTTCTAACTTTGGTCACATCTTCTGGCCCTTCACCAAAATTATGTGTTTCTCCGAGTTTTCTCAATACCAAACTATTCATGTGAGTAGCAGTAAAGAACAAAATTCATTCTGCAAAAATTCTTTCTATGAGGAAATAGAAAATTGATATCTCTTGCCCAATTTGTTGTTATTCAGTAAAACCACAAGTCATAAAATTCGTTATCATCCCTATGCCATCACAGTCGTGGAAATTGGACATGGTAACTTTATGGTTCCCCAGCCTTGCTATTTCTCTCGAAGACTCTTGAAGTGCCTGGAGGAGCATAGATATTACAGCCCCATTGGAGATATACATAGGAACAATTGCTGATCCTTATTTATTAGATGATTTGGAAGCTTAGGAATTGCAAACTAATACAGGCACAAAAGAATGCACAAAAGGTGCCTGCTCAAAAATAAATTGTTGAATTGTGGTCGTATTATCTTGAGACTTGAATATTCAATTTTTTCAGAGGAAATAAGCCAAGTTTATCTCTTCTGTTTCTGTTATTTCCGTAAAAATTTCATAATTGAAACTTAACATTTGTAATTAAAGTTATTTTACCAAGGGTATCTTCTTTCTCTTCTTCTTGTATCTCTTTTGCTTAATAAAATAAATTAGATAGGCTCTTCATATCTTATTTCTTGAAAACTTCTGTAAATCTTCTTAAATCTCACTGGTCATTTTCCAAAGTCATGCTCAGGTCCATAGACCCTTGGTTAATCTTTTCAAAACAATAATTAGTTAATTACTATGTCTACGAGGAAACGACTCACTTGATTTAGTGGTAGCAAAATTAGGTAGAACATGCATAGCATAGATTTACTTTTTGCTACAGCTCTCTCCTAGAGGATGTGACATTTGTATTCATGTAATTAATACAATTCTTATAGTTTCCGGACAAAGCTTGATTAGAACCTCTATTTGCAAACAAAAAAAGAGTCGCCTTATTGAGTTTTCCAATACCTAATCTGAAGACAAATCCAATTCCTTTAAACACCATAGATATGAGAAAATTCAATTTACAAGCAATAAAACCTGAATGTATAGAAACACACTAGGATGTCTCACATTAGATGTTGGATCAGATATCTGATCAATATCAAAGAATATGGCACCAGGAATGTGAGCCACCTGAATCAAATCCAGTAATGGTATTGTTAGTACCATGTAGACGTCAGCAGCGTATATATTAAAATATATAAAGCCATATTTCACAAACTTGCTTAAACTGAATATTTTCATAAAGATAAACATTGCAGAATATGATTTAAACCAGTTGACAATGTCCAGAACTCCAGATAAAGGTTGCAAAGTAATGACAGGAAAACCAATTGTTGAGCTGTTCAGTCGATAATATAAACATGGTAGTAGATGATTTAAACCAGTTCACAAAGTCCAGACAAAGGTTAGGTACTGACAAGAAAAACCAAGTGCTGAGCTGTTCAGTTGATAATTTTCCAACCGAACTTTTCCAAGGACACAATAAATGGAACGGATAACGCTGGCCCAGAAAACCTTTTCCTTGACTTTCCAAGTATCACCTAGTATCTATACCGAAAAACTTTTCCAAGTATCTAATGCAAACAGTATTTTGACCTTCAGATTTTATCCCATAAATCTGCTGAAATATTTGCAAAGAAATGGTTAGGTTCAAATATAGTGATCAATTATTAGCATGCATCTAAGCAGTAAATAACATCTTCAATCAACATTAATGATGAATGTCACCAAAATGAAAGCAGCTCATGTCTAATAAGTAAATTTGATTTTCCCATGACCAACACAACAGGCTTGGATAATAAGATTTGGTCACATGAACATCTACTAAAACAACAACAATAGGCTGTAACATCCTAACAATTCGAGGTTGGCTATACATTAATGGGGTTAATTATCAATAATTTATATCCAAATCAGAAAAAAAGAATTGGAGGGTTGAAAAGTGGACCTTCCATGTGAAAACTTAGCAAGATCGAGAAGCAGCCCGCATTGTGGTTATTCGAAGAGCATCAAATACCAAATTCAATAATTATTTAGATTCTAGCAGAATTACCAAATTGTAATGTGTGATTATGCCTAGTTAAACATTGATCTTTTGACGCAAAATGTGCAGTAAAATGTTGAATATGAACTACAGGTAAACATAAATAAAGATACAACTCAATCCATTGAAGATTGAACTTAATTCTATCCTGATAAGCAGTTGGCCAGAAAAGCTTTAGTTTGAAATCATATAGGGTGGACAACAAAAAAACATTTAATGAGTTACTCAAATATCATCAGAAAAGAGGTTTTAAGAGTTAAGCATAAAAATATTTGACATGCATGTAGAAACAATATCTACACACATATACATATTAGTGCATAGCATTGTCAGTGGGTTTTTCTCCCCATAAAGCACACTTTATAAACCTAAAAAAAATTACCCTTAATTAATATTTACTTTTAACACCCATAACATAAAAAATCTAACATCAATAATCAACAAGAAAGACATTATGTAAACTGCCATCATTTTTATTTCTATTTAAACAAAAATTCTAATTGATGAATTACCCTTCCCTTTGATGCTTCATCCACCACCATATAACTGCCACTTCCACCACAACAACAACCATCTGAACACTCACTATCACTCCCACCTCCACAGAAACAGCCTTTAACCAAACCAAAATTGCTGTAGCAACCATCAATGACACCAATAACACAATAAAAAAAGGCAAAACAATACCTAGTTTTATTTTAAATATAAAAGAGTGAATTTTTTAGGGATTGTCACCAGTAGCATGAACATAGGGTGCTATTTACAGAAGCAGCAAATAATGTCCTCTGTCCACATTCAGATCTCTCTGGAAATGTGTAGACAAAGACCAAGTGTGAATGTTTTTCTTTTATTTTGTGCTTTTTCATATGGTTCACCATAAAAAACAAAATTCATTAAGGTCTTGTTCTCTGGAAGAAGTGATATGACAATGCAAGCTGCAGCTACCGTAGCTTGTCGGGACAAGGCCGCTGACTACATCCTCTGGTTGCCCCTTCACTGAACAGGTACTGAGATATCTCATGTAGCAAGGCTAGCAGTCAAACTCAAGAACTACCAAAAATCAAACTCTGTGAGAACCATGGAGAATGCACAGGATAAGATAGTTGGATATTTTGCTACAGCAGTCTTTTTACACCTAGCAGCATGGAATATTTTGAAAAAAATTAAGAAAAGAAGAGTCTTCCAGGGGAATTACATTGAGTAAAATGAAAACTATTTCTGAATCAATCAGAAGCCTCTTGGCACAGATTAAGGTAGTTAGATATTTTGCTGCAGCAATCTGTGTACACCTACCAGCTTGGAAACTTTTCAAAATAAGTGTCTTCCAGGGGAACTAAATTGAGTAAAATGAAAATTATTTCTGAGTCAATCAGAAGCCTCTTAACAAGATCAGTTAATATCCTGACGAGACCATAACTATTTGTGTGAAGGCATTTGGTTTGAAAGAAATGGCCTTTCAGCTTGTTATTTTCTTCCACTCATGTCCTCACTACTTCATAATCCTAATGATAAGTTAATAGGCTGCTACTAATTTTTGCCTCAAAAGATATGTCAGAGAAATTAAACCTAGAATTGACTAAAGCATAAAACCTATCTACACATAATCTATCCACCACTTAAGGTTAATTTGAAGCACATTTTATCAATTCGTCCAGATGTGTTGATTCATTCACAACAAACCTTCCATAACTTGAAAAACAAAAGCAACAAAGTCAATAACAATGGCTCAATGACAAAAATCATCATAGTACCTGATACTCTTGAAATGCATTCCGTTGCTCTTGTGGCATGTACCAGGAAGCATCCAGTACCTAAAAATTAGAACCAACTAAATAACATTAATCTAACAAAGAAATCAGAAAGAAGAAAATTGCAGACTTGTATATTTAGATACATCCGGATATGACTCTCAAGCCTCACTGTATTGCTCTGTTGTACTGAAATCCTTGAAATGTAAACGGATGGATACAACAGAAATGCATTACAGGAAATTAAGAATTAGAATCTCAGTTTGGAAATTAAGAAAAAAGTATGCAAATACTACATACCATGTCCCTATATAAAGGTTAAAAAGGGAGGATTGAATCAATATTCTCGAGAAGGTGGATGCTAGATAAAAAGGTTAAATCAAATTCCTCAATAACAGAATGTCTGGCCGGTTGAAATATCATCATTTTTTTATGGTCATTTATTCAAAATTTATGCATCAAACAAATATTTAAATCTACTCCTTCATAGCCACATACATCTTGAGTAGGTTCGACAGCACTTATATTGACTAGGGGCTGAGAAGTTGAGTGGTGACAATCTTCTATAGTACAACTACTTATGCATTCAGTATCATAATATTCATTATTTTTTGGATTATTCAATATATAGTAGCCCAAAAAACATGGATGCTTGTAAAGCGTTAAGCCCATGCTTGGAAGTTGCATAGATTCTTTTTCTTGCAAAAAAAAATTGTAAGTTAATTAGTAGATGAAATTATTTACATAGAGACTAGGGTTCGAGTTACAAAAACATAATCTAGATTCAGAGATAAGGTTGAACATATTGACCCTCCCCAAACTCCGCGTTGGTGGAGCCTCATGCACTGGGTACACCCTTTTTGCAAAAATTGTATAAATTTATTAAAAGATAAAATTTGTATTTGTAGTTTGGAAAAGCTTCTTGTCTACTTTGAATAAAAGAAGTGCTTGACAAGAGAAACTACAAGCTATAAAACATGTGAACCAAAAAATAGATCGAAGACAATTCTGCAACCTGCCATGCTGCTCGCTCACACCATCACACCCATGTCAATACTGAACATCTATCCTAGTGATTGAATATACTTCTTTTAGAGCATAATATATAACTTAAAATCATAATTTTATCCCGATAATTCGTTTTTCGTGAAAACTGCATCACCTTAGCCTATAAAAAAGAAGACAACACAAGCAAGAATATCGTTCCCTTCTTTTTTTTATTTTCCTTTTATATTCAATATCCATATATACATATAATATCACATTATTTAACACTAAACTTTCTTACCTAGTCCAGTTGTAACACAAATTGTCATCCATAACGAAGCTTACAACTAAACCATGTTCTTTTCTACCACACTTTATTCATGTAGCAATATGTGATGCAGCCTAAAATTTCTCTATTATGACTGATGGTATTCCTGTAAAACTTTAAATTATTTGGATAAACAAAGTCTTATTATTTACAGGTGATAATTATATCCACCTAGGTAACCCCATGACCGGAAATAACAGTTCTAAGCATTAAATATAACAAATGGTAATAACTGCATACCTTTATATCAGGATTTTTCAGATTAGCATGCAGCCACGCAGCAGAAACCACAGGTTCATGACTCTCCATCAATCAAGTTTCAAATATAATGGTTTCCAAACTATATCAAGCAGTTATTAGCAAGGAAAAAAATAAGAATCAGAGAAATCAAGAAAACCCGCCTAGAAAGATGATAATAAATTTTCTTATCTAATCTCGTAACAAGCAGAACAAAAAGAACATTCAGCTAACATGGAAATAAAGAAGAAACAATATCCACTACTCAGAAATGGAAGATAACAAAATGTCTTACTCAGAAATGGAAGATAACAATTAAACACTAAAATCAAAGTATGCCATCCACTACTTAGCTCTAAAACAAAACATATGACCTTAATAGAAAAGCACAAAAGGAACACAAACAATACGATAGAAGACCAACCATAATCATTGGGATTGGAATAAAGTTTCCTAGCTTCTAATAAAATGAGCCCCTGGAGGTAAACAAACAACTGAAATTGACTAAGGAAAGAAAGGTCATCCAATGGGCGGAGAGAGAGAGAGAGAGAGAGAGAGAGAGGGAAAACAAAAAAGACAGTTCACCGAAAAGAAATACAAAAAAAAAAAAGCCAGAAAACACACATCAAGAAAAGAAAATTTTGTGATATTCCAAAAGCATGTGATGGGAAGGACCAGTCCTGCCTTATTGATTCTCGAATCCTCTAGTAGTTAAAAGGATCGATCGGAGACCAAAGAATGTTTTCTCTCGAACGGTGAGCAGCGAATAAAACCAGATAACCCCATCTATAAAAGAATATTGTTCTACAATTGCGAAGCATGAGACTCGAAGTGCCGGTCTTGAATTCTTGAATTCTTGAATGAACATGAAGAAATTGGATGGATTGATCGAAGACCCACGATTGCTGTCGTAGAAACACCGAGGTCCGTTCATCCAGCTAGAACCCATCAAGACAAGAAAATTCGAAGACCCACGAATGGTATCACCGGAACAGCAAGAAACAAACAAAACCAAGAAAACCCACTAAGAAATGAAAATGTCTTGCCTTCTTGAATCTTGAACTACTTCAAGATGGATCGAAGACCCACAAATGCTTCGTCCGGAACACCACAGAACACACCAAACCAGATGGATTGATCTTTGAATCAAGAAAAAACCGAATGGATTGATGGAAAATCCAAAACCACATAAAAACCATTCCGAAAAAGAAATTGCATCACTATCTCGAAGCGTGAGAAGGGAAGTGTACTGGTCTTGCCTTCTTGATTCTTAACGACCGTAGATAGATGCTTCCGTCCACAGACAAGAGAACGAGCGAGGACGAGCGCACAAAGATCGATCGAGAGGAAAGGGGAGGAGAGATGGGTGATCGAAAACCGGAAAGAAATACTGTGGACGGCGTTTTTATGACAAGCGCAGTGATATTGTAACCTCGGGCGAGACATACATATACGTGTAGAACCCACTTACGCCAGAGATCGTACGTACCTTAACACGCCTCCTCACCCCAACGATGTCAGACTGTGTCCTCCGCGCGTAAGAAGAAATCGTATGATTCGGGCGTAACACCGCAACCGCGAGGGGGAATTGCATATATATTTAACCATTATAATCAGTTGTATTTATCGTCCCGATAATTATATTTTTAAAAATTATATTAATATTTTAAAAAAAATATAAAAATAAAATATTTTATCTCGCTTCTTTTCATAATCAATTCTTCCGATGAAAAATACCGTAAATAATATCATATACAAAAATAATATTAAAAAAATAAAAAGATAATTTCGATCGTCATCGTCGTCGACGAAGAATAACTCTACATGAAACCGAAAACATTAGGTACGTTAGCGAAACAGGAGAAATAAGACTACAACATATGAGAATCATCGTCAACATTACAATTGATAAGAAAATCCTAAAGAATAACAAAAAGCTTTCACAAAACTTACTCTTATGTAAAATTAATATATTTGATGGTAAAAATTAAAATTCCCTTTTCAATCTTTTTCTTAGCACCATTTCTAGAATCAACATAGTAAAATATTTTACTTATATAATTATAAAGATATCAATATAATTTTTTAAAATATCAAGATCCTAATTATTAAGCACGAGAAGTAAAAGCTATAAAAAGAATATAATCGTTTGGTTATTTCTAAGCATGAGATAGGTTCTTGCTTTCTTTATCCTTGAATCCTCGGTAGGAAGAAGCACAAGTTTGATGGATCGACGAAAACCTCTCTGGAACAGAGGGCCAGATATCGAACATTATGTCAAGGCACTCGTTGACTGTGTCTTATCATAGCCGTGTTCTCCCTGCTCGAGTCTTGCACACCGCATCCATACAGCACGCAGAAAGCTTGAACGCTTACGATGAAGAAGAGCAAAAGAACAGCTAACAACACGAGACACTCCCAGGAAGCAGCCGCATAATTCTTCATGAACCTCCTCGTCCTCACTCTCCATCGACTGCTGTGATAGCTATTCACCTCTTCGATCACCCTGTCCAAAGCTGGGACCCTGGTGAGCCTCACCGATCTGGTCATGCTGTTCCACAGCTCCGCCACTTCCTCGTCGCTCTTCAAATGGTTTAGCACCACTCCCGCCTCCCTCAACAGCTTGGCATCCTCTGCCGTGTCTATGATTCCATTCATCAGCTCAACGTACCTCGAGAATATCAGTGGTCGAGACCCGATCGACGCCTCGTACGCCACCAGGTTTCTCAATACTACTTCAGCGTTTACGTCCAGGCTGATGGTTGGCAGATGAAGCGTTGCAGTCTTGGCGTCGAACTCGATAGCCGATATGTCCCCGTTCATGGCAGAGAATTTTACGCCTGCTTTTGTTAGTTCGGTCACAGAAGGAATTGCGATCTCTTCCAGCAATGGCGTTGTGCTTCTGTCATGGGTTGAGATTCCACGAGCTGGTTCGGAATTTTGATCCTTTTGGGAGGAGAGGAGTTGCTCGACTGGGTGTGCGATGATTGACACTGCTGGAATGCTCTTGATCGTTCTCCATGGGATCGTCACCAAAAATTTTACGACTGCTGAGACTAAGGCTCTACCTCGGTTGAAGATGAAGGCTGCGATTGCTCTGAGGAAGAATTTTATTCTGACGCAAACCTGAGGCTCTTGTTCGGTTTCTTCATCTCCTTCGACGGTCTCGAAAAGCTCTTCTGGATTTGGTGCAACCGTATGGTAAAGGAGCTCAAGCAGGTGGGCGTGTTGTCCGGCATCGATCCATGGGGAGATGTCTAACGTCTTGAATGGAGAAACTTCGATCAAGAACCCGATCAGCATGGAAGAAGAAATCTGAGCAGCGATTTGTGACGACGAACACTGCATCTCCAAGGCCTTCTGTAGCAAGAAGAGCGGGATTTGATTCTCTAACATCAGAGCATCGCAGAGCAGCATGTTGTATGCAGATGTCCTCCGATCTAAGCCCACCAAGTGAGACATTCGTGAAGGAGCTCTCCCCACCATCTTGCCTTTGCTGGTGGCAATGATTTGGAGGAATTCAAGCAAGAAAGACATGTCTAATGCCATCATCCATGCCAAAGTCTCCCCATTGAACTTGAGGTACCTGCGAGTGATCGAGTTACCAGAGATTGGCTTCCTATCACATGATATCAAACAATGACGTGAGATCTACCTGTGATAATGAGCGCGAATTGGAAGCTCGAGCTTGATGAACAGAGCGACGACGTCCAGGAACTTAACACCTGGTAGCCGGCTCTGCATTCTTCTCGCTGCGGCAAGCTTGTATCGCTCCATATCATGAAGTTCCTCGCGATGACGGTGGTAAGGACCCAACGCGAGGATTTGAGGAATGTAGGCATCCGGTTTGCTGCAGAGCAACGCCTTTGGAACGTCAGAGATGGAGGCAGGACGGTCATCATCGTCGCTCTCGAGCTCCTCCTCGAGAACTCGCCGGATCCTGCTCACCCATTGGATCTCGTCAAACTGATGAATCTGGTGTGGAGGCATGGAGGAAAGGAAACAGATCCACTTGTTGGCGTAGCAGTGATCGAGAACAGTTCTCAATCAAAGGTAGGAGATAAGAACTAGAAAAAGGTTGCTCGGAGAGAATGGAAACTGCACGTAGTTTAGCGTTACTAATTCACATAGTTAGACACTTAACCCAAAGAATTATTATTTTATGTTACACTTAACCTAGTTGAACATAATGTTGATTAACATTGCTGATAATAATTTACTCTGTATAAGATCTTGCATTAGCTACAATTTATCCTTTTTCATTTGTTTTTAAGAATTTGATCTTAATTTCCGTTTAATATTCTTCAATGCAAATATGAAATTAATAGCACATTATAGGCACTGAGATAGTTACTGGTTGGAAATACTTCCCAACCCTATATATATATATATATACCCACCGCACCAGGAGATTGGCTTTCTCCAATCACAAGGCGGGTGAGAGGACGGGTACAAAAATCATGTTGCTTAAGAAAAACCTCAGCGTCCCTCTATCCAACCCCCGAACTCGCCACCAGCGACAGGGTTTCGAAATGGCGAAGGAGCTGAAGGAGGCGCTCCTAAAACCCCTGTGAGTCCTCCTCTTCGATAAAGCCCTCGAGTTCCCAGGAAGCTTCTTCGATCCGCGCTTTCTCTTTGTTTTCCTAATCTGATTCAGTGTTCGGCCATACCCACAAATTCGAGGGGAGATGATGCTGGCGAACTGGCCGATTGGTGTCCTCAATTCGGTCACTTATTGGGTTCTTCCGGAAAATTCCCACTCGAATCTTTCTTCCTCCCATGGGCGGCTTCCGGTTCCTCAGAAGCCCCTGTTCGGTAGAGCTTTGAGTCTTCGGCTGGCAAAGAACTGGAATTTTGATGCGGGAAGCACCAAATGCCGACTTTGTTGTGCTCTGGCAAGCGAAGAGGACGGGAGCAGTTCAGTCGCCAGTCGATTTATCGAGAAGGAACTCAAGTTTAGCCCCGCTTTCAGCGATTATGTGAAGGTCTTGGAGTCTGTGCGGGTGGATAGGAGTAAGGATTCAGGCGGAGATGAAGATAGGTATGGCTCGAAGCAGACATCAATTGCTAAGGGGAAATCGTTCAGGATGAAGAGGCAATTGCATGGTAGCAAAGATGACGATTGCGAGGAGGGGGCAAATGTGGAGGAAAACGGCTTGGGGCGTGAAATGTTTGATTATCGAAGAAGGAATAAGGATTTGAAGGGTGGAGCAGGATTGACAAGGAACAAAAGTGATGGTGGATGGGCTTTGATTGAAGGGCTGTTGGAGAAAGGATCTGCAAGAAGAAATGGTGATATGGGTAAAGGTAAACCAGAAAAGAACAAGTACGGATCTGCAAGAAGAAATGGTGATATGGGTAAAGGTAAACCAGAAAAGAACAAGTACCATAGTAATTCAAAAACTCTGAGAAAATTTGACTCGCAAAGCAATGTTAATGATGTTGGAGAAAATCTGGATAATGGCCATCTTGAGAATGGAAAGGTGAGATACTCTGGAAGACTAAAGGATATGCAGCAGAAGGAACGGAAGGCAGCATGGGTTGATAAACTTGAAACTTTCAAGGGAAATAATGTCAAAATGGAGAGAAGCAATTCTCGTTCTTTGGGGAGAAAATTTTGTCATGGACGTGCTATGATTGCACATGGAAACCACACAAAATCAAACAGTAGACAGTTGGATGACAACAATTTCAGTGGAGACATTGCTGGCGATCAAATTGGTCATATTAATGACAATCATTCTTACAATAGCAAAGAGAAAAAGAAGATGCACGAGTACGAAACTATTAATTGTAGAGAAAGGGTATATTCTATTGGGAATAGTGTCCAAAGAAAGTCAGGGGAGCCTGCATTTACAAAAGATGCACTAAAAGCTAACAGGTCTTATGAGAATAATACGAGCAAGAAGAGTTTTGGTTATGACCTTGATAAAAATAATATTGAAGACGAAAGCCATTTGAAGATGGAACATGGAGAGAGACAGACCAGCTCGAGAAGAAGCAGAATAGAGTTTGAGTTCAAGGATGATTTTGACGGGCAGAATATACGTGTAAACAAATTGGTAGGAAAACAGACGAATCACGTAGACCACTCTGTGAAGCAGAATCATTTTGCTTCTTTCAAGATATCCAGTGAACAAGATAGAAATAAATGGCATGTTGGCATGCATAATAGTAATTATGGAGCTTCTAAGATACATGGTAAAGTTAATATGGATTCTAATAATATAACTGGAGATGTTGACGGCTATGATTTTGAGGACAGAGCTGCATTCAAAACTTTTGAGGTATTCACTGATGTCAGAAACAGGCCGCGGGTTTTGCGGATGGAAATGGAAGAGAGAATAGAGAAGCTAGCAAAGCAGTAAGTACTGAAATTTTGGTTTAGCTTTTACCTGTTAGATAATTCCCTTTATTTGATGCAAAGTACCAGTTGAAAGTCGTAGATGATGCTAGATATCTGGTGTTTAATTTGTTGTGTTAAATATCCTTTTTCACTGTCATAAGAAAGATATTTACAGCTAATTTTATCAGTAATTGGAATTCTCCAATACTGGACATTTGTAGTTAACAAGTTACTTATGCCAGTTCCTCAGTGGAATTTTGCACTACGCTTGATGCTGCATCTTGCAATTTTCTGTAGAATTCAGATCCTTAGACCAGCAACGGTCACTCTAGTCATGAAATGTGTTGAGTGGCCAAAATTTGCACGTCATCTCTTGTGAATCATCTTAGAGAGGCAGCTGTGTGTAAGATACATATTTGTGGGTTCGATACTTATCCGATATTATGGATAGTTTTTTTATCCTTTCTGGTTTCTCAGGCTTTTGATAACTTGTATTGTAACGTTTTTCTTGCATTAGTAATAGTAGGATATCAATATCCTCATTTGTTAATAATTAAAATGTATTGTCCTATGTCCATCTTATGTCACTGATGCATCTGACACCTGTTATGCATTTTAGTCTGATTCATGTATCTTATTTGTATAAAGTGCCAGTAACTTTCTTACTAATAGGATAAGTTCCAGTAGTTTTATCAGCTTGAGCTACTTCAGCAACAGCTCATGGTTGATGGATTTTAATTCTTAAATGTATCATCATGATCTCTAGTTCTAGTGTTTGCAAAATATTTCTTAAACAAATACCATAATGATGCAAGAGAACTTCTTTCCATGACTACCCTCAAAATAATGTTTATCTGGGTATTGTATTAAATATGAGGACCAAACAAGTGAAAGCTACCCAGCCTCACAGAATAGATGCACATGATACTGTTATTGCATAATATGTTATACATTTAATGTAGAGGATGCTAAATTGCTTTGATTTGTGATAACTATAATCTCATGCAGTTGTCTCCAGCAAGGTTCTGCATTTAACATAAAAAATGTTAACCAATGTTGCACCATGCCAACTATATAGCACTCTTCCACACCTATCTGGGTCATATATGCATATCTAGCTGTTGCATATGAACATGGTATGTAATGGGCACCTATATACACCAATGCTTGGGGCATACCAGCTGGTGTAGGATAGCACTTCTTGTACGGGATTGTCTTGGTCTTCAATATACTACTGAGTGCTGAATGATCATAAAATGCACAAAATCTTGAAACATATAGTTCGTTGCTTAATACAACTCCCACTAAGCTTTGTGCTGCTGAGGTGCACCTTTTCTTGTTCCTGTTTTGTAATGCCTGCTGATTATAGCTATCGGTATTTATCATACTTAAGTGTCTGCAAACTTGTGGTTTCAATCAATGCTTACTCAAAGATTTCACTTCTATGGTTTGTTGTCACAGGTTGAATGCAACTGATATAAATATGCCTCAGTGGAAATTTTCTAAAATCATACACAGTGCCAAGATCAAATTCACAGATCACTCCATTTTGAGGATCGTTCAGATATTGGGTGCACTGGGGAACTGGAAAAGAGTATTACAAGTTGTTGAATGGCTTCAGTCCCATGCGAGATTTGAGTCCTACAAGAGCAGGTCTACAATACTATCCTTCTTATGATAGTTTTAATGGTCATTAAAATTTGATGTTTATGATGTAAGGTTACTTTTTTTTTTTCCTTGAAAATTTTCATTATTCATGATGCAAATTCTGTTTTGATACCTTTTTTTTTTGAGCTGCTAAGTTGCAGCAGAAGAATTTCTTTTTGTATCTGTTAGTTACCTGCCTTTGGTATGCAGATATATCTATACAACTGTCCTTGATGTACTTGGGAAGGCAAAGAGACCTATTGAGGCGCTCAACATATTCTATACCATGCGTGTAATGATCTCAGCTTCGTAATATTTTCATTGTAGTTCTCCTAGTATCATTTTAGAGTTGCAACAATAATGACTAAATGTCAACTATTTGCAGCAAGGGTTATCTTCATACCCAGATCTTGCAGCTTACCGTTGTATTGCTGTCACACTTGGTCAAGCAGGCCTTATGAAGGAACTATTTGATGTGATTGATTGCATGCGAGCTGTTCCCGAGAAGAAGTTCAACTTGGGCCCTCTTCAGAAATGGGATCCACGGATAGAACCAGACCTAATTATCTTCAATGCGGTGAGTACCCTGGAACTTAGGAAAAGAGATTTTGATTCTCTAGAAGTTCCAGGTGTATGTCTGCAGTAAGTCTGCAGTTTGTTCTGTTTGATTTTGGCTAAAAGATAATATCATAATAACTGCATGTCTTTCATAATTGTAGGTTTTGAATGCTTGTGTTCAGAAGAAGCAATGGGAAGGAGCATTCTGGGTTTTACAACAGTTGAAACAACAGGGTGTAAAGCCTTCAAATACTACATATGGCCTTGTCATGGAGGTATGGTCTCTCTTGTATGGCCTTGATCCTTATCTTAAGGTTCTGATGGATGGATTTGTCTTCTATGAATAACTTGTCTAGACTGTCAGAGGCACAAAGAAACTAGTGCTTGAAAGGCTTGTTATTGTATTATATGATGCTCAATTTAACAGTAACAAACTAAAACATGAGCAAGGTCATAGATCATGTTTTATGAGCATATGCCATCTTTTTTGGTTTTTTCTTTCAAATTCTCCACATGTATTTAGCTCTAAAGTATGAACCTTTTTAAAATGCTTTTATTTCTGTCACCGGATATGGATGTTCATGCAATCGCTTCTGATTCACAAGCTGGATTCTGGACTTCCTATATCTCCATTATTTTGTTTTGCCATGCTCCTTTCTTAAGGTATTCATCAAATTGGAGCATTAAAATTTAAAATATTCTTAATCATAATGCTATTAGTGGAATGTTTTAAAATTCCACATTTTCCACCTAATCATAATACTATTCATGATACCAGCTTTTCTGTATTATAGTTTGTTGTAAAATATATTCTTTTGTTGTATAAAGGTTAAATACGCCTTGACAAACAATTTCCCACTTGTTGTTGCCCTCCTGGTTATTAAACCCGAAGCCTATCACTATTATATTGTGATATAGTCTTTATCTACTAGATGTTTATATCTTAAAATATATATTGGAGACTCTGAAATTAGTTACTGCCAATCTGCCTTTTCCATCCATTTTAGTTAATACCAATAATTTTTTTCTTTAATGAAGTACCTCTTGATTTAAATTCTTTGTTACTGGTTATAAACAGGTAATGCTGGCATGTGGCAAGTACAACCTAGTATATGAGTTTTTTAGGAAAGTTGAAAAGAAATCTATTCCTGGAGCTTTGAATTACAGAGGTACTAGGAGGATATTACACTTCTGTTGCCTAGATTTGATTGCTGATTGCTCATTTTTCTTTCACATTTTTATACATTCTCTTTATTGCCTAGAATTAAATACTGATCAGTGGTCGCTGTTACTTTGGTCACAGTTCTTGTACAAGCTCTATGGAGAGAAGGTAAAATAGATGAGGCTATACTAGCAGTCAAAGATATGGAAAGACGTGGAATTGTAGGCACAGCAAGTCTCTATTATGACCTAGCCCGCTGTCTCTGCAGCACAGGGAGGTGCCAAGAAGCCCTGCTCCAGGTTTTTGTCACCGAGTCATTTTTGTACTGATGATACCCTACACCTATTTTAATCTAGTATTTAGACCTTTCTCTATTCATAAAACAATAGTTTCATGTAAATGCAAAGAAACAATGACAAAACAATTTGAGCATATATATATATATATATATATATATATGTGTGTGTGTGTGTGTGTGTGTGTGTGTGTGTGTGTGTGTGTGTGTGTGT